ATTAAATGTTTTGCTGGATTGAAAGTTTCATCTAGTTTCCAAAGGCAGCCAACAAAATACATTGGGAAGCTTACAAATCGGAAATAAAGTTATTTTGCTTGTTCCTAGCATCTGGTAATCAGAAAGTACATTGTCTTACAGAATCACTGAACTATAAGATCACATCTGTAATATGTAATCTATAGACAGATCCATGAATGTCTTTAAAAACTATTAGATTAATGCCCATGACAACCTCTTGTAGCAATTCTATACAATAACGGTAGACAGATAATGGAACAGGAATTCCCCTTTCCTGTACTCTAGAGATTCATCAAGAGTCATGTCCCTCATCCAAGGACCAAGTCAAATTTTGAAGAAGAATTAACAAGATGATTTACTTCTGCCTGAATAAGTGCCAGATAAGGTGCTTCTTATTCATAAATAAGTGACCCACTTCTGAATCTTGATCAACCTGCTGATTCAATAGCATGCAAAAGTTCTACAACTGATAGTCACTACCTAATAATTAATTAAAAAGTGCTAAACAAAGTTTGATAAATGGCAGACTATCTATGTAAGTAAAATATTAGAGAACATTACAAAAGAGAATGTCATATTTGTTTTGCAGTGATATTTGATAAATGTCAGCAGCCAGACTTTATGGTGGAAAAGCTAGGGTGGGAGAAAAGTGGATATATCCCATCTTCTCATCATCGCAGTGAAATTAGTCATAATGATGATGACAGATAGAATGGGAAGAAAGCAAGAGTTGAAACATTGCTATTTATTCCTTGTACTAAGATCAAACAGAGGTACAAAATGGGAAGATAATGCCAAAGGGTTATTAAACCTTATGAATCACAGCTTTTCATCCTCATCTCATCCTCCCACCCATCCCTATATAATTAAATGTACAACATTCCTAAATTAGCCAAATACATTATCTTGAGTGAAGTGCATTGCTTACATACCACAAATGATGAAAAATTCTAGAATAAATGTCTCTAGGCCTGACATGACAATTTGCCTCATTGTTTTAAGAGCTAGTTAGAGAGACGTTTGATTTTCGGTAGCTTTCATTTTCTCCACTTTTCCCTATAAGTTACTGTCTAGATTCCTTTTTAGGCAAGAAGTGGGCATAATCAATTAAATAGCAAGTTGAAAAAAAAAATTACATACAGTTTCCTAGCCATTTCAAATCCTATTTGCATACCTGCAAAGTTCAAAACTTATTTCTCTCATACACAACTGATTACATCTGTCTTGAAATTCTCAGTAGCCTTGCTTTTAAGAAATTATCGTTAATAAATGTTTGTATTGCAACTAAAGAAAAAAAGTTCCATGCTGTTTTTCAATGGTGTACATTTTTAGGTTTGTCCCAGAATAAGGTATGAAAAAGTGGTCACATCTGTATGTTATGGGCAACAATGTAGGAGACAGGGCCAGTTTAAAGAATTTGGAGACCCAATGCATGCCAGGTTTGCAGTCTCCACATCTCTAAGCTCTAGATTTAACACTGCAGAGAGGTTCCTCTAAAATGAAGTTAAAATTATGTATTCAAAATAGAATACTCACAAAACCTGGACTAAAAATTAAAGATATATCTCAAAGAAACCTCCTGGATATAAAATCAAAATATAAACTATTTTCATTTTAAAACATTCAAATTCTTCTTTAAAGAATCATACTTCCCTTGGCAGAGAAAAACTGTTTTTATTTTTAAAATGGTTTTTTTTCCCTGCAATTATTGCTATCAATTTATCAGAGTTCAAAGTGCAAGTTATATCACTTTGAATTGCAGTGACCTACTTTCTCATAGAAGTGCAGAGGATTTGGAAGAATACAGAAGCAGTAACCCTTCCATACCACCAGGAAAGCTGTTCAGCCAAAATGTAATTCAAAATCCAAGTTAGTTAAAACATATTTATGAAGCTACTTCTTTGCTTTAAAATGTTTATAGAACAGCTTGGGAAAGAACACTAAATAGAAAACACTATGGAGGAAGAGGAGGAAGGAGAGATAGCATGCTTATAGCCCTTTGTTTTGATAAAGTGATCTGGGAATAGAATAGAACCAGTCATTGTCACTATGCAGTAACATCCTGCTTAGGAGAATGATCCCATCAGCTTTATCTACTTATTTGCTGAAATGGAACTTGTTATCCTGTGAGTGGACGTGGCCTTGTGAAAATCCCCTTAGCCCAATCTAACAATTGGCTAACGCAGAGCTGTGCTAACTAATGGGTAGACTTGCCTGCCCCAAAACCATGTTGGCTACAAGGTGCCTTCTTGAGGGCAGAGCAACAGAGGCAGGCAGTTTCACACCCTCAGACTGCTTGCCCATAGTCACATTGCCAGCCACTCTGCTTGCCCCACCTCCCTTCTTCCTGGAGCCTAATGCAGTTACATACATTGTGACCCTCCTATTAACAGTCCCAGTTGAAGATCACTTATATATACTATGGGCCATTACATCATCCAAAACAGTAGTGCTTGCAGTTGAAAGTAGACTGTGATATACATTGAAGGAATAATGCCACTTTGGGAAGCAAGCTCCTTTTCTATTAGATGATGAAGATACTGTTATGGAGAGCAATTCAAAATGTTAAATTGTTTGTTTGTTTTACCTGATGGCAGGTGATCAGCACAGCTGTCCACACAAAGAAACCTGAGATGGCCTGAGCAGCTGTAGTCATTAGGAATATTGGCTGCTCCACAGCAGTGAGGCTGCCATCCTCAGGCATCCTGGATAAATTAGGGGCTGTGGCAGGGGTGCTGGCCGGGGAGTCTGACTCTGGCACTGACATGGCTCCAGTTACTACAATCATCATCATTTTTTTGTTGTTCAAACCTACAGGAGGAGTGAGAGAGGAGAAAAAAAATCAACAGAATGATTCAAAATAGTATACACATAAACCAAGAATTTTAGGACAAAAATACATGAATTTTGGGAAAAAATGCCTTCAGTGCTAAACACACACATGAAATAGTTCATACAATTTATTTATGGATTTATGATGCACATAGCATGGTTACCCTTGAGCAAAAAAAAAAAGCGCAGAATAAAGGACAAAGGAAATTAAACTGTAAGAATGTAAATGGTATTATCTGTGTTAACCCAATCTACAAAAGATCGAGATGTATATTGCTCAGAACTGGCTTCAATTTGAGTGGCTTATAAGCCCAGTAAATAAGTAACTAAATAAATGCATAAATCCATTTCTGAATTTGACACAACCTCCCTTCCCAAAAAGAAACAGCAGCAATCTGAAGCACAACATATACAGGAGACTATGATGTGATACTAAAGAGAAACTAGATGCTTTTACATCTATGTAGTAATCTCTGTAGTCAGTTCATCACAGAACTTTAAAAAAGTGATATAAAGCTGTGATACTTGACAGACCTCGCTAGAGATCAGTCTTATAAGACAAGTATGTATGCAATCAACAAACATGTTATAAAAACATCCTTCAGGTAGTTACCCTATTTTCTTAACAACATTAGCCTGTTGCTTTTTATTCTGGACAAAGTAGCATCATCGAAGTCCAGCAAAGCCATTTAGATTTAGAAACCTGAAATTATAGTATAGTCAAATGTATTTACCCTATACTGTATATTGTGCAGCCAGCAAATGATGAAGAGAGAACACATGCCCTTTTTTCTTCTCCAAACTTACTAACTTTTCATGGTTCTGAGTATGCTGATAGAGTTATTTAAAAAAGTACAGTAGAATAAAGGAAAAACCCAAGAGTTTGTGGCTAAAATTTTCATTATCATGGTCTGTCTAGTGTAGGTCACACAACAAGGCCAGCCCTTTTCGAGCCCTTGCTATATACAACTAGATACAATGCACGGTCATACAGGCAGTCATTTAGTGACTGCCTTGTTTAGTGATTGTTCGCAGTTACGACAGTGATGAAAAAGTAACTTTATGACCAATTCTCACATTTATGACCTTTGCAGGTCTGTAAACAAAGGAAAGCTGAAGTAAGATCATAAACACAGTCACAGTTTCACTTAGCAACTGCTTCACTGAATGACCAAGTTGCCAGTCCCAATTGTGGTCACTAAACAAGGACTATTTGTAGTACATCCATCAGTTGACTTGAAAGGCAATCCCCACAGATTTCAAGTAAATCTGCAGATTAAGATATAATGTTAAAAGAATAAGAGATAGATGGGGATAGTTATTAAATATTATGGCTCTGTTACCAGTAACAGGATAGAATAAGATAGGTCAACCCCCAACTTTTGAAAAAAAAAAAAAAAAAGTAGATTTTTAAGGAGGTATTCTAAAGAAGTGAGGAAATTGAAGAACTACTGTGAGGCTCTAAGTGCCAATTTTTTCCTTTTTAGCTATTATTTATTGTGCTAATATACTTTTGGAAATGCTAATATAGATTTCTCTGCAGAGTATAATTTCAGTCAGCTAGTAAACTGGGACCACATGTGGGTCTTGCCCTAGAATTAAGAATAATCCCCCAAGCATCAATATTCTTGACCCAATTTTAAAGTTTAATACCGTAGAGGAAAATGAGGGAAAGGCATTTGCAGCACAACTATCCAAACAAACATAAGCATGAGGACTATTCTACCTTGGGATTAACAGTCCTGCTCTGACGACTGATGGAAACAGAGAAAAAATAATTTGCATCATCACTTTTTCTTCTTGTTTTTCCAAGACTGTGACTGAAAGAAGCAAGAAAATTGACAACTATTCCCATTCCCTTTCTCTAACTGGCTCAAGGGGGTTTTGTGCCATATGTAACAATAGCCAGGAAGTAAATGGCAAGGCTGTACTCACTTTAATTATTGAGCTAAAGAGTGTTTAATCACAAGCCTTTATCTTAGTGGTATTCTTCACTTGTATTTTTGGGGTCTCACCACAAACAGACTGTGAGTAGGAATTCTCTCAGCTCAGAGCAATCAGGCAGCCTATTAATATCATAATCCCGCTATCCATACAAAAACTATTATCCAAATGCAATACTTGTAAGCTTACTGTGGAAGACTGGATTACCTGAATAAAACAGAAAGACAGAACATGCAGCTCTGGCCTGCCTACCTATCTATCTATGCAAGATGTCCTCTGCTATAGATGACGAAAATACAATCACTGTTTTTACTCCCAAATGCTCATCCTATGTAGTTACAGATTTTTAATTAACTACATATTGAAAATTAAGGCATATAACATTACTTCTCAACCTTTAATTGCTCACATACACAACTAACTTTCCTTTACACGGAGTAGCCCCTTCTTCCCATATGTGTTTGTATCCTGGTTATTTCTCCTTCAGTCTAACATTCTTGCACCGCTCCATACTCAGGCAACGAAGTTATTTTACATCATTCATCTTTCCTCTATGCTAAATCAGATATGCAGATCAACAATGAAACCCTTTTACCATGAAACTCTTTTTCAAGAGAGTTTTTCTCCTCTGTTAACTTCTGCTATTTTTCTTCAGTGCATGCGTGTGTGTGTTTGTAAAATGTATGTATGCAGTATAGTCAGGACACTCTGTTTTTGGAAGGAGACAGGAAATAAGTTAAAAGGGAGTAGTCTAGTTACAACTTATTTATTTTCCTTTGAATATATCAAAAGGAAGCTACTGCAGGGTGCGTCTTTCCTAGCATCAGTATGACAATCTATATACACAACACAATCTATATATACACTGGTAGTACTTTTGTCCAAATAAATATTGTACCAAATAAAGGGGCAGATTATTTAAAAAGTAGCATTTCTTGTTTTGAAGATGCAGGACTATTCAGAATATTAAGGAGAAATGAAATGAAAACTTAATGCTGCAAGTGGAGCTTCATTTTCATAAACTGATCAAGTTAGAATGGAAATGGGCATAGCTTCATTTGTTCCCTAATCTTTCGAAATAATATACAATTATTTTTGAGATGCATTAAGTAAATAAATTTGTGTCTGAAGTGATTTTTGAATCATCAAATTCACTAGCTTTCAGTTGCACACATTACATATCAACAATAAAGCATGTTGTAGCAATTACTAATCTGTGGGAAATAAATCACCATCTTAAAACATTTATTGTTACATGTTTAGTTAGGCATGCAAGTGTTCAAAAATAGATGTTTTAACCTCCTAGCTGTCCAGATGGAGGAAACAAGTCAATTCTATTCTGCTATTCAGCACTACATAGATATATCCTTCACTCACTTCAAAACAACTACTGTATCTATACCAACCCAATTTCTATAAGGCTTCTTATTTGAACCAAGTAACAAAGGAAAAATATTTCTATTTTGCTGATTTCTATTTTTAAACACTGAAGGCTACAAAAAAGTAATTATTTATATCATTCCACTCAGGTCTGCTATCTTTCACATACTCAGGAGCAGTGAAGAAGCCCAGGTACAACAAAAGTGCAGAGTATTATTTAGGAAAATTAGGGGGAAGACTCCCAACTCAGCACGATTGGTTTCCCACTTTTAGAAGAAAGTAAAATACATTGCAAAAAAAGACACCCCCCAAAATCACATTCTAAAATAATTAACTGCACCATTATTCAGCATACATTCACCTTTTACTGATTTACTATATCTCTGTACTACTTTCTCGTATTTGCTTCCCTTCTGATTTTTCTCCTATACTTACAAAGTTTCCTGAGTGAGTTTTCAAACAGTCTTCTATTCTTTGTAAAGAGTCATGTACCTCAATGGCATTTTAAGCAAATACTGTACAGTAATTTAAAAACTAACATATACATATACATATACAAGTATTCATTCAAAATAGCTGATGTCTTAGCTATTCATGTCTTAGAGTAAAAGTTATTATTCTTGTTCATGTATATGAAGTGGTAGGCTATGATCCCACATCTAGAGAGTCCTGAAATTTCTACTACACTGTATTTCAGTGTACATAATGAAATAATCACAACAGATATAACCGAGTGTTACATCCTAATTAATTAATGTAAAATTGCCAAGCAGTGAAAGATAATGCAGTTGGTCAATCCCAATTGGAAAGACATATCCTAAAACATTCAATGCCAGCTTTAAAAGACACCCCTAATGGCTTATAGGCGTATTTCCTAAAAGGTGTCACAGCATCAATTCCAGTTTGAACATTGTCTAGATAAGACAGATGCAGCAAAAACTGCAGAAACCATGGAAATAATTCCTTCCATGCAAGAGACAGAATATATAAACAGAATACAACAGCTGGAAACATACCTTACAGCACTACAACCTCTATTTCCATAACATAGTTTCATATATAGTAGTTTTCCTTACAAATGCTCTTAAACTGCAGTATGTGAACAAAAGCTAAAAGTTATTGTATAATGTGAGCAACAACAGTTACTGTATGTTTTTAAGAATACTGTACAGCAGATGGAATTTGCTTTTTAATTCTCCCCTCCCCTATTTGTTTCCAGTAAATTGAATCCCACAGGGGTGATTAAAATGATCACCGTGCTGCATTACATGCTCAAGTTTTCATGATCTTACTCCCTGGACACAAGCTAATCCGTTGCCTTCTCAGTCAGCGTTTGCACCAACAAACAATGCTAACCTGCAGTGAACACTTTTGCTATTGTTATTTTGGCTTTTAAAAAATGAAACTTAAATCATATCACATCGGATACTAATATTCTAAGTAAAACATACAGTACAGCTTTTGATAAGTTGACAATATGGATACAAAGCACTATTGCTTCAGAAAAAGAATCTCTCTTGTATTGAAAACTGTTATTTTAAAGATCCATCCTTTTTTAAAAATTGCTTTTTTTGTTTTGCTTTTGTTTGTTTGTTTACCATTGTGACTGGTTACAGATTAATTTTTAAACAGACTCCCAAAGGGTTAAACAAGATTAATTATCTTGGTAGAAATCTGATCTTTCATCATCAAAATGTGCTAGGACAGTATAATCCTAAGGAAGAACAAAATAGGTAGGCATAAAGTAATTTTAAAAAGACGTTAATAAATCCTTAAATCCTGGCTTCTTTCAATAGTCCATTATTGTCCTCTTTCTCCTTGGCATCCTATGATACCACTGGCAGCAATTTTAAGGAGTTGCTGCAGTTGACCATTAGGATTTACTGTATATAGTGATGAATAATAAGTAATTCATCACTATATACAGTAATATACTTATTCTATTTACTCTTTTCAGCAGACTGACTTGCATTTATTTGATAATGAAAATTACAGAGGACTGAAGATATGCAGCTGAGCTAAGTATGAAATATATAGGGCAAATATTACATACTGTGTGCAAAAGCTAATACTGTACACAATCAATGGATTTCTATTTAGTAAGGATATTAGGCATTTCTGTATATATATTTTGAAATATGGGGTTGTGAACTCAAGGTAAGTCACCATTCCCATTGTCAATCAACATAAACAACCAATAGCAATGAATCTTTAGGGGACAAGGAAGATGGGAGATACAACTAGTGGAAAAGATTGTGGGAGGCAGGAGGAACGGATTCCTAAATTAGCATGGTTAAGTTACATAAATATTCTCCATTTTAAAAAAAAATAATGTCCTTGTCAAATTTTGGTATTTGGGTGCAAGTTCTCAGATGGAAAGAACAAAGTATGTGCTGTATGAAATGTACATAATTAGCCAGATAGTCAAACAAACCACTGAGACATGTGGCACCAAATGTGCCATTTCTCCTACAACCATTCCTATCATAACTTCTTTTTGTACCACTATACACAGTACCCACCTTTAACCCCAAACTATGCATTTAAGCACCCTGTTGCACCACCATGAGATTATCATTCTGTGCTGTAAATGTTTAAAATACTTTGATTGCACTGAAAAGTTGGCCTGCCAATTTATATAGGTAAAAGGCTTCTTTCAGAAGTCACCTTCTGTATCAAACCCACAGTCCAGACCATGTGGCTGATGGGTAACTCCAAACCCACTTTCAGTGGTGCCACGTTGCTCCCCTTTAGACCTAGGCTGTGCTATTCACCACTCACAGCTATTCCTACTGCTGTTGTGCACAGCTGGGCACCACCTGCGCGTATCCCAAGACCACCCCATCCACCTGCGCCATCAGTCCCCAGCAGGAAGGAGTTGCCATTCACCTTTTCACACCCTCCTCACTCCCTCCAACCGTTATCGCGGCCAGATGCTCTTCAAGAGCATGCCAAGTGCCAGGAAGCAAACTCCCCACCCCACCCGGGGCAGTCAGGCCACTGCTCTCAAGTTTAGCCGCTACATCCCCTCAAGCCCCGATCCTCCCTCCCCGTCCATCCATCTTCCCACTGTGCCCTCACCGCCACGCGGCACAGCAAGCACCAGCCTCACTGTCGCCGCCGCCGCCCGCCTTCCCTTCTCTGCCAGGGACCCGACCCTCCGGGGCTCAAGGGAGCGGGCAGGGAGAGAGGCCCTCAGGACCCCATGGCCGAGTCGAGACTTCCCCGGTCAGCTCTGTGGCTTCGCAGCTGCTCTCGTCCCGTCGGGGGGCCGCTGGTAAATCCTCCACTGGATCTCACCGCCGCGGCCCTAACGGGTTTGGAGGAAGGAAGGGTG